GCCCACAAACTCCCACGGCCTCTCCCCCAATTGGCCCCCCCACCCCAATCAGGGGCGGGCCCAGACAGCCAACCTCCTGCAATCCCCCCCTTCCCCCGCCCCTGCCGGCAGGACCCCACCTATGCATGAATTCGTGCACCGGGCCTCTAGTACTAGAATAAGAGGGACCAATTCATATTCTCACCATTCGTTTCACACCTACAAAAACCACTTCAAGGACACTAACAATCTCTCAAAACTGATCAGTTTTGTGCAAGTAAACCATGTTTCTTTTAAAAGAACTTGTGCCCTTGCCCAGGGTCAAGGATATTAACATCTAGCACATAAAGCCCATTACAGGTAGAAATACAGGTGATATACTATTTTTTTGTGTGTGTGTGCCCTTCACTGCGATCGAACCTGGGACCCTTCAGTCCACAGGCCAACGCTCTATCCACTGAGCCAAACCAGCCAGGGCTATACTATTTTTAAATATATATATTTTATTGAATTTTTTTACAGAGAGGAAGGGAGAGGAATAGAGAGTTAGAAACATCAATGAGAGAGAAATATCCATCAGCTGCCTCCTGCACACCCCGTACTGGGGATGTGCCCGCAACCAAGGTACATGCCCTTGACCGGAATCGAACCTGGATCCTTGAGTCCGCAGGCCGACGCTCTATCCACTGAGCCAAACCGGCTAGGCCAGGTGATATACTATTACATCAACAACCATCAGTTACAGTTAAGGATTTTTCTGTAACAGCCAAATGAATAATCAAATAATGTAACAACTGAATTATTACTGAGCAATAATACTGGGTCTCACCTGTCCTTCTCCCACCTGTGCCTTATTCTAGGCATAAGTGGGCCATGGCCTGGCTGGTGAGGATGGGGAGAAGTAGAGCCCCGGGCAGACGGCCTGGGGTGAGAACATAGGAGTGTGCACAATCCTTTGGGCAAAAAGACAGCAGGGTCCATGTGGCAGAGCAGGAGACTGTCGGCTTTTCCCTGCTGTACCTTGCCCTTAGTTCTGTTCTCCTTTAGCTTGGCCATGGGAGAAAAGCAGGTGTGAATGGTAGAGCGATGGTGAAGGCAGCAGATGGTGAAGGCCTCCTGCAGCCTCATGAGTTTAAAGTTCACTCTGTGTGTGCCCAGGAGCCGCAGAGGACTTGAGTGCTGCCTGCTCCCGGGTGCCACCCAGAGATGCAGGTGGGAGGGGTGTACTCTCCCCCCCCCCTCCCACATGCTCTCCCATCTCTCCTTTAGCACATCTGACTCTAGGCTGGGAGCACTGATGGGGTACAGGAGGAGGGGCATCACAGGGGTCCCTTAAGCCTGTCGGTGGATTATATGCCCTACTCTTCTTCTTTAAGCAACCAGGGTAGCATGGCCTCCTAGGCTCTCAGACACACAGGCCTTGGTCGAGGGGCTGGTGGAAATGGTCACCTTTCCTGCTGTCCTCTGGGTAACCTCCCCAGTGGAGGAAAGCATGTGGTCCCTGCAGCAGAGGCAGCTCCGGCTGTTGAGCCTTCATACACACATACATGCGCCCATGGACCCGTCTCCGCCCCTGTCCTTGGTATGCCGTCACTGCCAGTGTCCCCTTTCAGATTTCAGGAGTGACTCTTGTGCTGTCTTCACCAACCCTCTGCCCAGTCTCTCATTCATTCAACAACTCTTTACTGAGCATCAAAATGCACCAGAACTACTCTGTTTTAGACTCTAGGCTGCCACAGTGAAAGTCCCAGCTGTCATGGAGCTTATATGTCCTGTGCGCAAGGGGATATGTGTTACAAAGAAAAGTGGCACAAGTGAAGGGTGACGGGGCTGCAGCAGAGGCCTCTGAAGAGGGGGCGTTTGAGGAGCGAGCCTCACTTTCCAGGCAAGGGACAGGAAGGGCCCTGAGATGAGGATGCATCACCGAGTGGTGTGGGCTGTTTGGTGTTTTAAGAAGATCACTCTGGCTGTGTGTGGAGAATAGACGGGGCAGTGGGAAACGGGCAAAAGCGGGAGACTGTGGGGTTGTTGCCCTGATCCCCTGGGTCTCACTTGTCCTTCCTCAGTCCTTTCCTCACCACTGTCCCTAAGAGCTCAGGAGAGCCTGTGAGATTGGCTTGCCTGCTCCAGCCATTCCAGCTTCCTCTCCACCTAACACGTTTGCTCTCTAGGCCACTTGTCACTTACACCAGCGGTCGCCAACCTTTCAGACCTCACAGACCACCGGTTGGTGACCGCTGCCTTACACCAGCCTCCTGGCTGTTGACCTGTGTGTTTTCCTGTCCCTTCCCTCTGCTGTGGCCCAGCCTAGCATGCCCTCTCGCCTTCTCAGTCCTATCTTGGTGCCTTCTCCACTCTCCCCCCAGGGCTACGGCATGTCCTTTATTTCATCTGTATGATTTCTGCCTGGGGGGTATGCTGGATTCCTCTACTAGCCCGGAGGCTGTGGAAGGCAGGGCGTGTGCCTTATTCTGCTCCTGGTCAGGGTCACCCCAGAGCCTGCCATGCAGAAGGGCCTCAAAGGCTTGTGAATGGCACCTTAGGTTGGAGTTTCCGGCCTTGTCATTTGAAGGAACAATGGTTCTACTTGTGCTTAGCCTGTACTGTGCTTGGACAGTATACTGGCTCATGGCCCAAGGGTCTGGGGCATCTCCAGGGCCTTGGCTGACTACTTTGGAGTAGGCCCTGAGCCAACAGGGAGGTGGAGGTGGAGACAGGAAGTTAGGGGAGCAGCAGGACTCAACTCCAGGGGAGAGGCTAGGGCCGGGAATCGGGGTCGGGATGAGGAGACTCAGCATGGCCAGCCCTCACACCCCACCCTTGGGTTTCAGACCTGAAGCTGCACCTGCAGAGCACTGACTACGGCAACTTCCTGGCCAACGAGGCATCACCACTGACAGTGTCCGTCATTGATGACCGGCTCAAGGAGAAGATGGTGGTGGAGTTCCGCCACATGAGGAACCACGCCTATGAGCCGCTCGCCAGCTTCCTGGATTTCATTACGTGAGTGTGCCCTGCAGTGCCTCGCCTCCTCCCCAGCTGGGCAGGACGGCTGCATCTGATGGACCTGGCCCAGCATGGCTTAGGTCAGCTGCCTGTCGAGTCCTCCTGGGCTAATGGCTGGGCTGGTCATTCAGTAACACTGGACCTCCAGGCCACTACCATAGAGTAGGGTCACCAGCCACTTCACCTCTGGCTAGGATACTGGTGGGCAGGCACGTATCTCATGTTGTGGTGCTGGATGAAGCCCCTTTCCCTGCACCACTGGTGTGACAGAGATTGGGGTGGGGAACCCTTTCCTCACTCACAGCACCCACAATGAACACTCACTGGGCCCCTGACCCCCATGTCAGGGTCAGGGATCAGGGGTCAGGGATGGGTAGAGCTCTGAAGAGCCAGGTTCATGGGATGGACCATTCAGGCTTTCTGACCATGGCCCTGGGTTTCAGGGAGAAAGGATGGTGGGGTTGGGAGTGGAAGCTGAACACCTGGCTGCCTTCCCAGTTCTGGCCAGGCCGCCATGCTTACGACCCTTGACTGCCCCGTTTCCCCATTGTCTAACCCTTGGGTGTAGCCCTGCCTCCACGAAGCTCCTGGCAGTGCTGAGAGAGGAAAGGCCTTGTGACCTGCAGGCTAGGGGAGGGCACTTGGACAAGGCAACCTGTGCTCGCTGGGTGTACTTCTGGAAACGGAGGTAGAGAGACCCCTATGCAGTGGCGGCCCAGGAACCATGAGCCAGGGCCTGATGGACAAACAGAGGGCCTCTGTCCACGTGGCTGCCTCACGCGTGGCGAGCAGAGGCATGTCAGAGGCTGGTTTACAGGAGTTTGCCCTGAGCTGGTGGAGTGTGTGTGAGTTGTGGGAAGGAAGGTCTCCAGGCACTCTCCTGGGCACCACCTTGATTTGCCCATTCCCTGATTGCGGTGTCCTCACCCTCTTCCTTGAGACCTGACATACCTGCCCTGTCTTTGCAGGGACAGGGCTAGATTCCTGCTGCCTAGCCTGATACCCTCCACTCTCCACCCCCAGGAGCAGCCACTTACTCACGATCCACTAGGTCAAGTGGTGTCAGCAGCTACAAGAGCACCAACCTCAGGCAGGGGCCACAGGCTGGGACACCCAAAGGGCTCAGGGAACCTGCCCAGGCTAGGAAGCAGGCTCTTTCCACAGGGGAATGAAACATCAATTTGTTGTTATTTATGCATTCATTGATGGCTTCTTGTATGTGCTCTGCCTGGAGATTGAGCTCGCAACCTTGGTGTATTGGGATGACGCTCTAACTAACTGAGCTACCCGGCCAGGGCCTTTACAGTGTACTCTTTCTACTTATAATAAAAAGAAAGTTTGTGCCCAGCTGGTGCCCAGGGGCCCCCTGCTGTCCTGACTTGACCCATAATCACTGCCCTAGCCCCGGTCAAGGTACAACTGAAAAAAAAAAAAAGGTACAACTGACATGGTCCTCCTGGGGCAGGAGTTCAGAGATGAGGTGTGTCTTGGGCTGTAGCATTGGGGAATCATGCCACGGAACCCCATTTGTCAGTCAACCCCTAGCCTGGGCCTGTGTATCCCTTGCCTCAAGGCCAGAGCTGAGGACATACAAGGAAACTGTGTGTTTATTGCCAGAGCCTGGCCTTCATCTTATTTGCACAAGGTTCCTCCAGTTTCCTGATGAATGTTCTGGTCTTTCTTGCTGGGCTGGCCAGAGGAGGCCTGACCCAACCCCATGCCAGTGGTCAGAGGGCAGATGTCCTGCATCCCGCTTGGCCACCTGCCTATGTAGCTCGCCCCCGGCCTGTCTTGGTGCCCTTAGAGGCTTGGTCTCTGCCTGCCAGGCCATGAAACTGGAGAGAGCTCTGAGCGTGACTGAGGCCACACAGCCGCCAGCTCTTTGCTGGAGGTTGGCTGTAAGCACCAAGTATGCTTAGAGCAGCCAAGCGCTATTCTGTGGCAGGCTGTCACTTCCCGCCCCTTCCATTCACGGGTGATTGTGGCTTACAGTCTCCCCAACCCCTTACTCTTCCCCTCACTCGGGAAGAGTTCAGCAGCCACGTGTCAGCCTGTCTGAACCTGTGGCTGCTCAGTCCATGACCTCGTCATCTCTCTGCTCCTCTGCTCTCCGCTTGAGCCGCCCCCACCGATGGCTGCCCAAGACCATGTCACCCCCTGGAACTGCTCCACCCTTGAAATCGCTGAGTCAGGCACCCCCCCTCTACCCACAGCCTTCAGGCGCTGCAGCCCACTCTTAGTCCCTTGTGGGACACGGGTTCCGGACTCAGCAGGACACGAGGCCCTGCTTCCTCCCCTGCTGCCTCTCTTTCTTCACTTTCCTCCCTCCCCAGCTGAGGTTCCCTGGTCCATCATTCGAGCACTCTTCTGCCAACATCCGCAGCTCTCTTGGCTGCCCATCTCATGGTCCCACCCGGCTGGCAGCCCCCCAGCCCTGGAGGAATCCCAGCAGCCTCCAGCCCGGAGGCACCCTCCCCCACCTCCGCTGCTGGGAGCAAAGTTGGGGAAGCCGGCAGCAGCGTTGGGGCGGGTGAACCCAGCTGCCAGACATGCACACAGACCAGCTCAGTTGGCCTTGACTTGTCCCTGCCCAGCCAGCAGCTGGCTCTCCCTACTCAGCCCCTGGAGCATCCCCCTCAAGGGTGGGAAGACCACCTCCCTATCTTAAACACCATCCCTCTCCCGGTCCCCCAACCTTCTCTCTCACCTACCTCCTGCTCCACAGAGATCATAGAGGCCAGTCTACTCCCATCGCTGCATCTGTACCTCCAACCCCAATCCAGTGGCTGAGGTGCTCTCCTCTTTTTTGGGGTCCTACTGCCAATGTCCTTTGTCCCCTCACCCCACTCGCTGGACCCCAAGTGGTCAGTCCTCTACACTTCTGTCTGTGCATCCATGTTCCCTTCTGAATTCTGCCCATTAGCATCTAAAAAACCCGTCTCTTGGGGCCTAAACTTTTATTTATTTTTTAAATTTTTGTTTATTGATTTTAGAAAGGAGAGAGAGAGAGAGAACCATTCATTTTTGTTCCACTTATTTATGCATTCATTGGTTGATTCTTGTAGGTGCCTTGATTGGGTATCAAACCTGCAACCTTGGCGTATTGGGATGATGCTCTAACCAACGGAGCTACCTGGCCAGGGCTGGCCTAAACTTTTACATTCAATGTCTGTTCTCTCACCTTCCAACACCCTTCGAGCCTCCAGTCCGCTTGCAGCAGACCCATCACTCCACCACAAGGCCCTGGCTAAAGTCACCACTGCCTTTCATGTGGCCAAGGTCTCCAGGCCTCATTAGGAGCCACACACAGAGGTCACCTTATCTCCATCCCTCAGAATCTCTTCGTTGCCTTCGGAGCTGCCTCAGGGTGGCAGGAAAAGGCTCTCCAGGAGGCAGTGAGTTCCTTGTCACTGCAGGTGTGCAAGCAGAAGCTCAAGACTTCCCCTGCCCTCCCCTGGTGAGAGACAGTGTCCACCCAGCCGTCAGCCACCACAGATGACCAGAATCAGCTCTGGGCCAGGCCTGGTGCCAGGAGGCAGGGGGGGGTGCATGGATGCAGTGGGGTGGGTGCCAGTGGTGGTGTAGATAGCTCCTGGAGAGGCCTGTGAGCAGCTGCCACAAATAGAACTAGGGGTCACAGGAGGCTTCTCCGCATTGAGAGGACTCCAGGATCAGATGGGGTTAGAGCCTCTATCCCAAGTCTCACAGCAAGTTAATGGCTGGGCCTGGAAGCAGCCCTTGGTACTAGTACATGTTACTGCAGGAGACCGAGCTGAATCATCTCAAGACCATATGGCTCATGACAGCCTACTCCAGAGGCACCTCTCACTTAGGGCCTGTCTGCCCCACACCAGGCCACTGCCTCCGCTCGGGCCACCCGCTCTCCCGAGTGGCCTCGCTAACCCCACCTGATCCTGGAGTCTCCTTTCTCTCATGGTGTCTCTCAGATTTAACTCCTACCTCCCTGGCTGCTCTTCTCCACTCCACCTCCTCTACTCTGGCTCAAGCCAGGAATGAGGAGTGGTGTTGCTGAAAGGGGTTGAGGCAGGTACCCATTGGCATGGCACCCATCTTTCTGGTGGACCAGGAGCCTCAGTGTTAGCAGCCTGGAGTGGGCAGCTGGAAGGAAGCTTTGTCCCAGGACAATGGCCTCAAGTGCCCAGTGGGCCTGTTAGCACACTGGCCATTCTCCCTAGGACACGTTGTTGCAACCGGGGGCCCTGCTGCATCAGGTTTCCAGATAGGCTTCCTCCCTGTCTGGGCCCTCCGGCCATTGCTGTCCACAACTAGTGTTTCTGGGTTGATGGCACAGTCTCTGCGGGTTATGGATCTAGACCTGCTGGGGTTTCTAGGTCCTGGGCTTGACCTTGTTCCTGCCTTGAGGGAAAGCCAGTACCTACACTGTTTCCTGAGCCCAGGGAAGAGCACACAGGAGCCCTTCAAGGCCCAGAAGGCTCAGGTCAAGTGGGAGGACGCAACTGCGCCTCTGGGGCTGGGGCACGATGTTAATGAGAAGGTCAGGGCCTCTCTGGTTCTGCTGTTGGCCACGCTACAGTCATTCTGATTGCAGAAGGGAAACTGAGGCTTGGCAGTTGGTATGATGAGAGATTTGGATGGATAGACCGGCAGGTACCTAGTCATCCTGGCCTTCTCACCAGTGTGCCAGGCTGGCCCCCAGGGCTGGGTGGTAAGAACAGGAAGTAAGCCACGGTGCTCCAGCAGGTGGCGCCAAAGGGCACACAGAGGGACAGGGCTTCCCTGGGGATTCTGGAAGACTTCTTGGAGGAAGCGTCTTCCTGTACTCCAACCCGAGCTTCCTGTGGGCCCGAGCTGAATCTTCGAATCTAAGGGACACGGGGAGGGAGGGCCTTTGGGCAGAGGATTGCAGACTGCCCCTCTCCCATCCCACAAGGGCCTCTTTGGCCTGGCGGGCAGCCGCCTGTCCACTCCCCAGCTGTCTCCCTCTGGAGGGAGACGCTGACCAGCTGGAACCTCATTCTCTCTAGTGAGGCCAAATGAAGGGAGGACTGGTGGAGCGGCTTTCTGGGGGCTGGGAGGCAGCTGCTGAAGCCAGGCAAGGAGGAGGAGGATTTCCCTGGCTGCTCAAGTCCTTGGGAGAGAAGCGGACAGCTGGGCCAGTGTCATCTCCTTTCTCCCAGAAAGGAAGATTCTGCTGTCATTGGGCAGGGGAGAATATCGGGGGCTGCCGCTGTAACCGTGTGGTTGACCCAAGGGGAGGAAGGGTGGACCTGGCACAGGATCATCGGGCTGCCTAGCCTGGGTTGGAAGAGGGCCCTGGAGGGGCTGGGGGGTGTGATCGCAAGTGACCCTCACTTGGCTCAGCGTTTTGCTTGGTGCCCAGCTAGATCTAGCAGGAGAGGCTGGGGGCAGCCAGGGAATACTACCTCCGGCCCCCACATCTGCTGTCAAGGCTGAAAAGTGAGTCATAACTGGCCTGTTCCCCATCACTGGAGGGATAGCAGCAAAGCCAAATGGCAGAGCCTTCCCACAGGGTTCTCCTCTTGGGGGAAGAGGGGGGGTTGGACCCGGAGGCACCTCCCTTGGGCCCTGACCCCAGCCCCACTCCCAACATAAACTAATACCCTCAGAGGGGGCACAAGGAGTGGGGAGGTTTAGAAAACAAAGACTGACTTGTGTGGATCCCGCTGAGAAGATAAAGCTTGATGGGGAATGTAGACCCTAGGGCATGGGAACCCTGGGCATGGGTGGAGGTGTGTGGACACTGGCCATGGGGACAGAGAGCTCCTCTGCCTTATGCAATGATGGGGCCTGGTGCCTGGTGCCTGCACTCTGTGCCTTATTTCCTCTGACAGCTGATGGTGCAGGTGGTTGTGGGATCAGATGGATAGTACTCGTTTTTCCCTCCCTGCCCAGAGCGTTGTGGGAGCATAAAGAGCAGCATGAGGTTCGGGGAACATGATGGCTAGAGTGGGGCTGGATGAGGTGCAAGCAGGAATGTCGCGGGAGGTGGTGTGGTGTGTAGCATGGTCCTGGGGTCCATGAGATTCTGGAAGCATGAGGGCAGGAGGGATGTGCTGTCCAGGGTAGAGAAGATGCAGGCTGGGGCCCGAGACCAAGGCACAGAGCTCTCTGAGGTGCCTCCACTTTGCCGGCTGTCAGGTCGGGGTCAGAAGGCTGGCATTGGGGCCTCTGGCTTGTAGCTGCAGATGGGCCTTGCCTGAAGCCCTCAGTTTGGGAAGGGGCCTGTCTCTTCTCAGCACACATCCTGTAGCTGACCCAGCCAGACAGGGCGGAGAGAGGGCAGTTGCCTGGCCCCAAGCCCAGGAGAGCAGAGGTTGTAGCAGGGCGCTGGGCCGGGTGGGAGCTGGGGGAGCAGCAAGCAGGCGGAGAGTGGGGGTCAGGCCAGGACAGGAGCTGTGGCTTCTTCCTTCTGCCGCCTTCCTGGAGGGCCTTGTGGGAGCTCCCCCAACGGCCAGCCTTCTGAGCTGAAGCCTGGGCCCTCGGCCTCCTTCCCTTGGTATGGGGGCCGGCTTCCTTGGATCGCATCGGCACTGGTGCGCAGTGATTACCTCAGGTCAGGGCCCTGGCCGGGCCCACACAAAAGCTCAGGGCAGCAGCCTCCACCCCAACCTCACCCTCCAATGGGAACCCAACTTCGGCCTTGGAGGATGTCCGCCCCCCAGGCCTCAGCCAGCTCCCTTGTGCCTTGAATTCCTTGCTGGTGCCAGGCTGAGGAATGTTGTGGCTACTGCAGTCGGACTGTGAACCCCCCCCCCCCCCGCCCTTCACCTCATCCCCACATAGGTGACTGCGCAGAACTAGCTCCAGTCCTTTTGAGCTGTTGTCTTCACTGTTGGAGGCAGAGCTTGCCCCTTGCCTTGGCATGGTGACCTGGGCAGCCCCACCCTCTCCAGCTCCACAGCCCCTCTGGTGCCCATGTACTATCCAGAGCCTCCTTGGGGGGGGGGGGTGGCGGGGCGGGGGGCGGGGGGGGAGCCTCTGCCTGGGACTGACCTGAGCCCAGCCTCCTGTCCAGGTCTCTGGGTCTTCTCCAGGCATCCTGGACAGACGCCTGGCCCTGGCTTCAGGCCCTAAAGGAGGAGGCGGTGCTCGGTCTTTGGAGTGGGCTGCGCAGGGCAGCTGTCTGCCTGCTCGTCACCGCTTGACCTGGGACCTTACTCCAGAGGGGCCTTCCCACCGGCTCCCTCCAGCCTCCCCTAGAGAAGCTCTCCCCACCCCACCCCTCACGTTCCTCCCCCGCCGTCTTCCCCTCCCGCTCTGTTCCCACCCAGCAGCCAAAGGGACCCTGACTGGACTGGATACCCCTGCTTATATCCTGCTCGTGGAGCCCTCGAGCTCAAAATGAAGGCGGGACCCTCAGCCCAGTCTGCAGGACCAGCCTCCAGGCCCCGGCCTGCTGGCAGCACTGCCCTGGTTCCCTTCCCTCTGCCAGCCCTGGCTGTGCTCGGTTCCTCGAATGCGTCCGTCACTCAGTGAAGGCCTCCAGGTTTTCGCACACACTGTTCCCTCTTCCCAGAACACTCTTTCATCTCCCAGTTCTTTCATCCCGAGGCTGGCCAGTGGCCTCACCTCCATGTGCCCACGGCTCCCCTGTCCTGCCAGGACACTGTTCACACCTGTTTCCCAATCACTCGTGGGGCATGGATTCCATCCTCTCTCCACCAGGGGAGGGGCCGTGCCTGTCCCGTGTGCCTGGTACTGGAGTAGGGGGCACACTTGGGCAGGGAAAGGAGGCAGCATTCATTGTCCAGGGGCTGGTCACCTGTTCAGGGTGGGGGCAGGGGCATGGTGTCAGGACTGCCAGGCCCCTTGACAGGCTGCCTGCTCTTGTGCCTCCTGTAGTTACAGCTACATGATTGACAACGTGATCCTGCTCATCACGGGCACGCTGCACCAGCGCTCTATCGCCGAGCTGGTGCCCAAATGCCACCCACTAGGCAGCTTTGAGCAGATGGAGGCCGTGAACATTGCGCAGACACCTGCCGAGCTCTACAATGCCATCCTGGTGGACACGCCCCTGGGTGAGCCACTGGTGGAGGGAGGGGTGGGCATCAGTGCCAGTGCCTCAGTGTGCGGTTTGCGGACCCCTGGGGGTGACCCTGACTCAGAATTGAGGCCTACCCACTGGCTTACCTTTATGCTCCCTCTTGGCTTCCCCTCCCATTCCTTCCTCCTCACCGGCCTTCTGTGCTGTTGCTTGGTCAGGCAGGCTACACCCAGGGCCCGCCTCAGACCACCTAACTTTGTGGAATCGGATGATTTCTCAGAATGCAGAGGAGGCTGAGCTCAGGGAGAGGGTTGAGAGGCCCGGGTCCCTCGGAGTACTGTCAGACTGTGGCCTCACGCGGGGCGGGAGTGGCGGGCTGCCCATGAGCAGGGAAGGGAAGCCAGTAGCTTCACTCGCCTCTACTTGAGCAGGTCCCAGGGGCCAGGACAGGCAGTGTCCAGCAGGATACAGAGTTCATGTTCAAGGCCACGAGAGGGGAACTGAGAGCTTCCTGCAGGGCCCCGCCTAGGCAGTGCTGGCTCCTGCCTGCCGTGTCTGCTGGGTAGAAGGCACTAAGGCTGTCCTCAGCGAGTGTCCTCAGAGCCAGGGCACCACCTCCAGGAAGCTCCCAGGGTTGAACCACTGGGCACCAAGCTGCACTTGGTCCTACACAAAGAGGCCTGAGCCCTACCTGCTGGCCTCATCTGTCACAGAATCTCCCAGTAGTTCAGAGCTGTTTGTGGCTTTTTCAGTTTCTTCATCTTTAAAGAAGAGGCAGTGAGCCTACAGGTTCTGCTTTGGGTGGAGTGGCTTTATCCTGCTCTGGCCACTACTTCCAGCCCAACAGTGGCCCCTTGATCTGGCCTGTGCCCACCCAGATGCCGAACTCATTCCTTGTCCTAAGGAGGAGGAGGCTGGTTTTCCAAATGTGGGGGATGCGAAGAAGTGGGCGTCAGGCCCCAAATCCACAGTTGCCCCCCCCCGCCCCCCCAGAAGAGAGGATGTTGTGGCCTCTTATGCAAGCCTGTCTTTGGCATGGCGGAGCTTGGGTCTGCCCCAGCAGCGATTAGGTCATGTTATGGCTGGCGGCCTGCTTTATAAATCAGTTTTAGGAGCAAGAAGGCTCAGGTCAGTGTACATCGTCCAGAGGATTGCTTCTGCCACTTCCAAGGCAATAACCAGGGTGGGGGCCCCCAATACCCAGCCAAGTGGACCTTGTGGCAGGGGCCCTAGGACCCTTCCCTAAGTGCACACACCCGGCCTCACACCCCTCTTTTCTCCCCAGCGGCTTTTTTCCAGGACTGCATCTCAGAGCAGGACCTCGATGAGATGAACATCGAGATCATCCGCAACACGCTCTACAAGGTAGTGTCTCCCCTTCCCCCCACCCCCCGTGAATAGTGGGGGATTGGCTTGCAGGCCGACAGGCTGTGGGCGTGGTGGCTTGTGATTTATGTGGGTGCTGGGGCAGGGCGCAGCTGCACCAGGCTCGCACCCTGGGGGCTTATCCACTCACTTTCTGGCTCCCGTGATGGGCACAAGGCCGCATGGAACAGGTTCTCCATCCCCAGGTGCCCACGGCAGCCTAGATAAGATCAGCAGGCGTGGCGGGTGCTCCGCAGCTTGGCTTGTCAGAGCTGGCTCCTGGGTGACTGCTCTCCCCGATCCCGCAGGGTCACGGGCTACCACCCAGGCCTTAGCTCTCAGCTCTCCCCACCTGGACTGCTGCCAGCAAGTACAGGCACGTGAGCAGAGCAACAGTGTGCTCAGTGACGGTGGGAGAGGGACCCAGCCAGGTGTAGCCAGGTCCCCGTCAGGTTCCCAGGCCAGAGCCAGTGCCACGTCCCATTATCCTCATCCCCCACCTACCTTCTGCTCCCCACCAGGCTGTGCCATGGGCTGGAGACCCCTGGAGGAAGAATGGGCTTGGGATTCCTAGGTCAGCACTGCCCTGGCTTAAAGAGGTGAAGGGCAGAGCTGGCCAGGGACCAGTGAGGGACATTTGGGATAGACTGGGCTATAATTGTGGTACCAGGACCCCCGAGGGGCTGCAGCCAGGAACATGGGTCAGCAGTGGGTAGGGCCTTGAGCGGGGCTGAGGTTAGCACTGGCCAAGGGCCCTGCTGACCTAACCCTGCTGACCTAACCCTGGCTCTTTATAGCGAGGGTCCTCTCCTGCCCTGGTTGGAGGCAGGCGGCTGACTCCTGGCTGTATCCTCAGCCCAGGCCCTCCAGTCGCCCTGCAGGGGTTGGGCCGGAGTGAGGGAGAGTCTGGCGGTAGTGAAGGGCCTGCCTGGGGACGCAGTGGTGTGGCAGGGGAACAGCACATGCAGAGCAAGCATGGAGCATGGGCCAGTGGCAAGCGGTTTGCTGTCGAAGTGCAGGTTCCAGATGGACAGCAGCAGATGGGTCTGGAAAAAGAAGCAGGCACAGGATAAGTCACCCAGGGCCGTGAATGTCCGGTCAGAAGTTTGAACTTTATCCTGTGTGCAGGGCCAGCAGTAGAGGTTTCCCACGGATCGGAGTATCATCAGAAAGCCCCTCTGGAGGACTTGCAATGTGGAGGACAGGGTAGAGGGGACCATACCAGAGGGAGGGAGATTCCACTTCTTTCATTCTCAGGACTGCCTTAGCAGTGTGTTCATTTGTAAGATGGAGAAACTGAGGACTCAGAAGTAGAGTGGGTTGCCTGAAGCCACTTGCTATACTGAGAGCATTGGGGATCACACCTGGCTCAGCCCGATTGCAAAGTAAGCTCTCTCATCCACCCCGCTAGTAGGGAGGCAGGCTAGCAATCAGCAGAGAGAGAGAGAGAGAGAGAGAGAGAGAGAGAGAGAACTCCTGCCCGCCCAGCTGGCCTGTTGCCGGGATCCCTGCCCTGACACAGGGTGAGGGGTGCGGCTGTCCCCCCAGCCTAACCCACACCCTCACCGGGCCTGACTGGTTCTACCTGGAGTCACTGGCGAGGGCTGCCTGGGCACCAGCTTGTAAACATAGATCCAATGCTGTAGGCACCATGCCAGGACTGCCCGCCCAGCAGGCAATGTCCCAGCCCAGTGGCCACAGATGGGAGATTAGGCGGACCCTCAGCCGCTTACCGGGTGGGAACTGTAGTTAGCTGGCACAGCCATGGGCTAGCAGACTCCTCCAGGGCACGGGGTGGGGGTGGGGATATGACCTTGGTACCTGGGCCTTTGGGGTCCTGCCAGTTTCTTCAACTGCCCTGGTCTCCAGAAGAGAGTCTCGGTCTGTCCACCAGCCTCCTTCATCCTGGGGTCAGCCTCTCTGCATTAGCATCCCCACGGGGAAGAACTGCAGACCCACTGGATGGAGCAGGCCTGGGGATTTGGGTGCAGCCAGTGTGGCTGGCCACGGGGAAGGAAGGAGCTGGGGACAGTGCTAGAAGGACTGAGAGGTACCCCAAGCCATGGTAGGGTGGGCAGCTGTTTCTGCCCTTCTCTCATTCCTGGGGATCCGCTGTGCTATGACCCCTTTCCCCTTCCAGTTTCTCACTCCCTGCCCTGCCCTGGACTTTTGTTTTCTGTGACCCAGTGGTCACCTCAGGCCTTTCTCTGAGTCCAGCTTGCCCAGTGCTGCTGGCCAGGTTGGGCTGGGCTTACTGACTCCCAGGTCTCATCTCGCCTCCTCCTGGGGCAGCACAGCTGGTGGCCCAAGTCAGCTGGTAGTGGGTGCAAAGGTCTCTGCACCTTGGAGGGCAGACCTTGGCATGGGGAGCTTCCCTCGCCTCCCAGTCCTCACCCCCAAGAGTAGCCTCCAGCCTGTGAAGCCAGAGTCCCTGAGACTGGCCACCAGATTGGACCCAGGAGGATCTGAGTGCAGGGAGCTCTCCAAGGAGCTGCAAGACCATCCCCTTCCTTGACAGAGAGAGGTGTGGGGAAGGAGCCTGTGTGGCTGCTCTTAGGAGTGAGGGCTGGGGGCCTGGGGCCGGGGCTGACCTGTCTTCTCCTCATGCCCAGCAGATCCAATTTGCCTGGGCAGGAAGTGCTTGTCCCTCCCCCACCCCCACCCCGGCAGGCAGCCGCATGTTCATGTTCCGCCATGGTCATTGCTCTGCAGGGCTGACCTCCAAGGGGGCAATACTCATTTCTCAGCAGGAATCGGGTTGACAGTTTGGTTCCTACTGCGTGATGCCTGGGGGGTGGGGGGAGGAGGAAGTGTTCTGTAAGGTGGAGGCCAGGAGGGGCCCGGGCACCCAGGCCAGGCCATCTCCATGAACTCTCAGGAGTAACCTTCCCTCACTAGCCCATCGGCCGATGGTTTTCTAGACTGAGGAGAGAAGATCTGGGGGAAAGGCAGACAGAATAGTAGAGAAAGACAGTCTCCCTCTTAGCCTGGCCTTCTGTGGGATGAGGGTGTTGGGGGCACTGCACCATGAAGCAGGCAGTTTGCCAGAAATTGCTGTCACTCCTGGGTTGGGAACAAGGCAGCAGGCTATTGCTGCCTGGCTGGTTAACAGTTGGAGTTTGTGGCTCTTGCAGGGGCTCTGACGTGGGGCTGCCATGGCCCATGCAAGGCCTGGGGAGGGAAGCGGGGACTATGAGTAGGAGGCCTGGGAAGCCCCCCTGTCTCCCTGCTTGGGCTGAACAAGCCCCATGCTCTGTGCAGGCCTACCTGGAGTCCTTCTACAAGTTCTGCACCCTGCTGGGCGGGACCACGGCCGATGCCATGTGCCCCATCCTGGAGGTGAGCGCCCTCCCTCCCGCCTGCTGGTCCCCTGGGAAAGACAGGCCGAGGGGAAGCCCTGCCAACTGACCGGCCACTGCCTCCCTCCCTCCCTCTCTCCTTGCCTATGCTCTGGCCCCACAGTTTGAAGCAGACCGCCGCGCCTTCATTATCACCATCAATTCCTTCGGCACAGAGCTGTCCAAGGAGGACCGTGCCAAGCTCTTTCCGCACTGTGGGCGGCTCTACCCGGAGGGCCTGGCACAGTTAGCTCGGGCTGATGACTACGAGCAGGTTAAGAACGTGGCCGACTACTACCCGGTGAGTGCCCTGGCTGCAGGACCGAGGGGCGGGCATATTGGCACTTGCATCCCCACCCCACACCCCCCTGTGCCCTCATGCTCACACTTCCCACCACTCTGTTGGGCCAGGAGTACAAGCTGCTTTTTGAGGGTGCAGGCAGCAACCCTGGAGACAAGACCCTGGAGGACCGCTTCTTTGAGCATGAGGTGGGTGCCAAGCCTGCCCGTCACAGGGAGGGTTGGGTGGCTCAGGCCTGACTCTGGTCGTGGCCACCTGCCCACCACGCCTGCCTCTGTCCGCAGGTGAAACTGAACAAGCTGGCCTTCCTCAACCA